AAAAGCTTAGTCGATATCAACACTTAATATTCACTCGACTACAAATGAGTAGATTTCTTACTTACTTACGCCTGTTACTCCTAATGGAGCATAGGCCATCGACCAGCACTCTCCAACCCACTCTGTCCTGGGCCTTCCTTCCCAGATCTATCGAATTTTCGTTCATTTTTCTCATGTCTGTCTCCATTTCTCGGTGTAATGTGTTCTTTGGTCTTCCTCTTTTCCTTTGGCCTTCAGGATTCCATGTGAGGGCTTGGATTGTAACGCAGTTCGGTGCTTTCCTCAATGTGTGTCCTATCCACTTCCAGCACTTCTTCCTGATTTCTTCCTCCACTGGGATCTGGTTTGTTCTCTTCCACAGTACGTTGTTGCTAATAGTGTCCGTCCAACGGATCCGAAGTATTTTGCGTAGACAAATGTTAACAAACACCTGTATTTTCTGTATGGTGGCTTTCGTAGTTCTCCAGGTTTCCACCCCATACAGTAGAACTGTCTTGACATTTGTATTGAAAATCCCGACCTTGGTAGTGGTTGACAGTTGTTTTGAGTTCCAGATGTTCTTCAGTTGTAAATATGCTGCTCTTGCTTTGCCGATCCGCGCTTTCACATTTGCATCAGATCCACCATGTTCATCAATGATGCTGCCCAAATATGTAAAGGATTTTACATCTTTCAAATCTTCTCCGTCAAGTGTGATTGGATTGGTGCATGCTGTGTTGTATCGGAGAATCTCGCTTCTCCCTTTGTGTATATTGCGACATACTGCTGCTGAGGCTGCCGCTACACTGGTCGTTTTCTCCTGCATTTGTTGTTGAAACTAGTTAAACACGACACCAATGTCAAAAAACCGGCAATATGCAACAGTAAAATTACATAGTAATGGCAAATCTTTATTCAACGTCAAATAATAAATGTCCAGATAATGAAGACTAAGGAAAATAGAACATGCTTACAAGAGACCACTGTAAAAGTCAAAATACACGACAGGATAAAAAATGAAAAAAAAACAACAGTATGGTCCAACTAGACACTTCTGAGGAATTCTAGTTTATACATTCCGTCAAAGACTTAGTAAGACATTGGGTAAGATGTCTCACTTTTGTGTAAAATAGTGGGCGAGATGCAACACCAGATAATAACTTTCTCAGCACCCGAACACAGATCATAAGATTTAATGGTGAACTCTCCGGAAGAAAATATTTGTAGGTGGTGTGCCTCACAGCAGTGTTCCACTCGATACTTTATTCCTGTTCTATATTCACAACCTATCAAGGCTGTTTAAGTGATGGACATTCATGTTCCAGACGAAGTCATAGTTTCGAGAACAATAGACTATAGTGTCAATCATCTGTATCTGCAAGCTGATGTAGACGAATTAGTCTGATGGATTCCAAGTCGAGATCTGGGGCCATTTCTGGTAAGAGCTCATCAGATACTCTGGCAGACTTTAGAATACCGTCATTGATACACCATTTCTACACGTGCATAAAAAATACCTAGGAATAAATGCAAATTATGACTCGAAATCATCTGCGTACTGCGGCGTTGTAGTTTCTGAAAGTTTTCGAGAATTTTAGTCAATTTGCTGAGACTCCGAATGTTTTATTGAGGATACTCTCCGAAATCATGCACTGACTATGTGAGACTTTACTTAAAATACTGCATTCAAACGGCTTACCAACATCTTAGTAAAGACCCTAACATTCAGATGCACTCAGCGTGTAGAAACTAGGTTACCGAGGGGCATTTTCAAAATCCGTCGTAAAAAGCAACTTACAAGCGTGAACGTTTGCGATGTGAGGTGACTGTGTATTGGCACTGTATATCCAAAATAATGATTTGATATTAACGCTTCTAATAATTTTGTCTCGTTCAGAGTTAATCTTTCACAAGCCATAGTTAGAAATTTTTGGGAATCATATTCTAATAAAATCATAATGAGATACTGATTTTCACATTAAGTGGTCAATGACCACAACTTTTGCACCTTAACAAGCGATATCAGCTCGACCAGTGAACGAGTCTAAAGAGGAAATAAATTTTCACCGAAAAACACACCTAAAAGGTTAATTAAGGTTATCAGAACTATTGTCTTCATTACCGAATACCAGAAGTTCAACCGTAGTTTATCTATAATACAATCCGTCACACTGATGAGCTCCTCTATAACTGTGGTCAATGATATCTTTCTAACACCGATGAAATTAACACTGACATATATATATATACATATATATATATATATATATATATATATATATGATCCTGCCCCTATTTGAACGGCTTTGAAATCAAATGAGGGGGCTTGTGTCCACATTCTGTTTCTATGAAATACCACACATCTACAAAGAAACTCTTACTGTACTATTCTTAACAGGGTTTTTGGATAATGTCCCATACAACTGCAGAGTCATATTTTATCGGTGTTTATTTCGCATCTTATTGCATAATTTTGTACTTTTCCATTCGAACATACATAATATCAGTGTTTCATTTGGGATACTTCTAGATTTTGAAGTGGTACGATGGTTATGTATAGTTCTTCCAATTTTTTATCATTGTTCGTGTATTTATTCGCAGTACGTTTTCTTCTACTGGTGTTTTCTGTACACTTGTTCGTGTTCCCTTAACATAAAATGAAACAAGAATTTATATTTACACTTCAATAGTCACATGGACTTACTTCTGAATTATGTTGAACTATCAGACTAATTGTAGTTGATTTGTATGCAAATATTCGTAAAACTCTCATAGATGATGGTTTGTGTAAGGAAATGGGAAACTGTTTATTCACAGCGTTTATTCGCAAATAAATCGTTTGAAAAGATAAAAATATTGGTCTACCTATCTTATAAATACTGGTTTCAAATACGTAGACACCTGAAAAGAGACGTAGACGATCTACTGGTAGCTTATCAAGCATAAGTTCTCTATATTACACTCAAGGTCACATGAATTATTCAGCCACGTGGTTGCTGTTTATTGGGTGCAGGAACAAAGTACACTGATCTGAATATTATTCTGGTTCCTGATGTCTTTGCTTGTCCGTTAGCATCACCAAGAGATCATGTATACTGGTTAACGAAAACGGGCATGTTTTTGAGTATTTTCAATGCCTACCAAAAGCTTAATGAGATAAAAAATCTGATTCTGATTACCACACCCAGACAATAAGCCATATTTTCAAAATGATCCAAAGTGGTTATCGAGATCGGTATAACTTCACATCTGAAGTTGACGCATATTCATATGATGGTCATAGGACAGCTTTCACTTAGTTATTTAGTGTATAATAATTGATACGATGTCTATCAATCTAAATAATCTACCAGTAATTTTCCACCCGATGATATAGATAATCCTTGTTTGTCCAGCTTCACAAGTTCGCTTGACATACTTGGTTGATATCATAGTGTATAACTCCACCGTCAACCAATCTGCGGTGACTATCCGTTTAATCCTCGTGTAAAAAAGGACAGTCGTGTGTGGATTTTGTAGTCTTTTGCCGTTGAAAAAAATCTGCGAAAAAGTGCTAGACAGAGAAAATCATTTGAACTATTAAGACCCTCCCATGGGAGTTAAAGGGTCTTCACATAGAAAGGCTTTGGTGCCAAATGGTGAAAAAAGGCAGTGGTCACAATTGGTTTCATTAAGTGCAACACACCCACTGATAAAACCAGTGAAGATGATGTATAGCAGTTTTACCAGAGGCTTCATTCCATCATTGAGAACTGCCCAGGAAAGGCTTGAAAATTTGGGTGGAGTATCTATACGTCACGATAGGCACAAACAGCACGAGGCATAAAACTATAGTGGGGTGACATGAACCAAAGGAAAGGAACGAGAATGGTGAAAGGCTGATAAATACAAATGCTTTCGAAAAAATGGTTCGAACAGACAGCTTTTCCTCCCACATATGTACACACGTAGCCATTTACGGTTCAATTCACCATATTACGAAGAACCAAGTCGATCACATCTGAATCAATAAGCAAAGTTAGTAAGTCCTTAAAAGGTTTAACAACATAGCGGAGTTGATATTTCTTCAGACAATCACATATTACTAGACTTCCCAGTCTTAATTGAAGAAGCACTGGACAAACAACACTACAACACTTTTTTACTATTTTCCTTTGAAAGGTTAACTAACTCAGCGAATTCAAAAAGTTCTAACACTTAAAAGATCTACTCAATGAAGATAAAACTACCATGGAGGACAATCAAAAAAGAATGAAAGAACTGAAACCCCAAAATGTCAATGGGTAATGAGTCCCAACAAATACCAGTGCATGGAGTAAATTTTACTCAAGGCCAAAGTCAGTATTTCCAATATAAACATTAAAACCATCTTATCGTGAGAAGTTGTAACTCAGAGGGCTACCATAACCATCAAATATGTACAGATATTCACAGATAAATATATATCTTTGTCGAATGTTTGGGGGACTACTCGAGCTAGACGGGCACGATGTGATTAACTAGCCGACATCAGAGTCACACCCCACGGTTAGTACCTAACGTGGTTTAAGATGCCGTTGTACTCCAGCACTTTGTTACGTTGATTACCGTATAACACACAAAGAAACAGAATGCAACCACTGCCGCATGAACCAGTCCATGGCGTGCATTTGACTGATGTGCGGTAGTTGTCCTTGATCTTAACGAGGATCGGTGAACAGTTTGACATTCACTGGCCCGACTGCTGGAGGATTTGGCTAAGGTTCAGTAATATTTCACCGGCTCTATAAGCTAAAGCATGTAGATTACATTTGCCTAAAGAGAACGAGACGAAACCCGGACTTGTGCAGGCTGTATTTAGAATATTCCTTCCTTAAATCACTACTTCAAACTACTGACATTGTAGCGTGGCGTCGAGTCGAGGTTAACTATGAACACCGCTACAAAGAAACACGTGCCAAATAAATCAGAAGGCGAAGGTTGAACGTAACCAAATAAATCCATAAAATCCCCGAGAAGCCAAATACCAGAAGACAGTTAATGGACCAAGTCGAGATATATATTTGCTGGCGATCTCGTGGCATCGAAAGGATACCGAGATCGTGCCAGGATACAACCTTGGTTACAGAAGGTAACCGAATTCGCGCGAAGTTACAATCAAAGTGTGTGTAAAAGAATGGAAGCAAAATATAGCTGTCATTAGCACAGTCAAACAAAAGCACGTTAAAATAAACACTGGTACAGTTGGTTATAATAATAATTGTTTTTATTAAACCAGTCGTGTTCTCGTGATAAATGTGAGTCACTACAGGAGCCCCCCGCTAGAAAGGGTTTACACTTTCGATAAATAGCGGTTTAAATCGTGGGACTGATCGGCTGACGAGCGATTGTAGGACGGAAGAATTGGCGAACAGGAAAGCGATCGTTGATCGTCGAGTTGCCAACGAAGGTCGTTTTCGGAGAACGGTACCAGGAGCGATGTGCTGTATTTGTTGCTTGAGTTGGCATGCTACACGAGAGTGGTTTGTATCCAGAATCTGAAGATGGCGTTCGTAGGGGTGCGGACCAGAAACGCTGCAGACGTAGGACGAAACCACGTTGAGCCGATGAACCAGAAGCGACCATAACGACCAAGTTCGAGACCAAGCGTATGCCAAGCATTCGAAACCAATATATCGACTGAGTACGTTGACAAGAGCGTGGGTGGCCAATCCAGCTTTCGCCAAAGTTGACTGAAGTCGACGGAACCAAACGGAGATGGTCGAAGGCGTGGGCTCAGGAAACAAAAAGAAAATCAAAAAAGAGAAGAGTGTAGCATGCGTGTAGTATAGGAATAATCCTACACCGTATCGGTTGTTAACTGTGCGGCTAGTCGCGGAAGCGTACGGGTAACCGTACTCGGCGACCGGAACGTGAGACGGTAGTCTCGTTCGTATCTCGTGAGCCTGCAATCTCATCCGAGGTCAGAGGCGGCGTGGTCTGCTGATCTGGACGTGAGACTGTCGTCTCGTCCGTAGACGGTGCAGATGACGCGTGCTGTTGACCGGGACGTGAGAATGAGGTCTCAGATGTATCTAGCGTGGGACCTGAAGATGGTTTGAGGATCCCGCTAGTAGGTTTGATAGGTCTAGCATTGAATCTCAGGTTATCAGATAGGGCACTGTCATCGACGTGTGCTGGTTTGAGACGATCAATGCTGACGATCTCGACGCGGCCATGTCGATCAACCTTGAAGGTCTTTTCGTGACGAGCGATCACGTGAAAAGGGCCTTCGTAAGGTTGTTGCAAAGGTTTGCGTACCGAATCTACTCGTATGAAAACATGTGAACAGGTAGATAACTCTCGAGGGAGAGCGACCTGTCGATGTTGTATTCGAGTTGACACCGGAGACAGCGTTCGCATAAATGCAGACAGTCGATGGACGTAGTCTGATTTACCGAAATTAGGTCTGCTCCGTGGTGTGAAGAATTCTCCGGGCAGACGCAATGTCGTGCCGTATACCAGTTCAGCGGCGGAACATTGAATATCTGCCTTCAAGCTCGTTCGAATCCCTAAAAGAACGAGCGGTAAGGTTTCGTGCCAGTTGCCGTTTTCGTGTGCTCGTAGAGCACTTTTAAGTTGGCAGTGAAACCGTTTACTTAACCATTTGGTGCTGGGTGGTAGACGTTAATGCTTATGCGTATGCATTCCGTACCAAGCAGCCGGGTCAGCGAGGAGAATAGTTAATAGGGGAAAATTTCTCGAATAAAGCGTGGAATTCATCGTCACGCGAATAAAAAGTAACAAGGATTCGGTACACATACATGTGAGTCTATTATATTAATACTATTCTTATCGTTATCCGTCATGTCGCGTATATTATATATTAAAAAATATGAAAATATACGACAGACGTGGATAGATAAATCATAGACTCACCGAATTGGCTTCTTTGGAAGATTTGACCAGATGTTGAGGCGTGTTCCAAAATACGGGTCACCAATTGTAGCGTGGCGTCGAGTCGAGGTTAACTATGAACACCGCTACAAAGAAACACGTGCCAGATAAATCAGAAGGCGAAGGTTGAACGTAACCAAATAAATCCATAAAATCCCCGAGAAGCCAAATACCAGAAGACAGTTAATGGACCAAGTCGAGATATATATTTGCTGGCGATCTCGTGGCATCGAAAGGATACCGAGATCGTGCCAGGATACAACCTTGGTTACAGAAGGTAACCGAATTCGCGCGAAGTTACAATCAAAGTGTGTGTAAAAGAATGGAAGCAAAATATAGCTGTCATTAGCACAGTCAAACAAAAGCACGTTAAAATAAACACTGGTACAGTTGGTTATAATAATAATTGTTTTTATTAAACCAGTCGTGTTCTCGTGACAAATGTGAGTCACTACAACATAATGTTACTTAATGAATGTCAAAATAATCAGATTCGGTATGGCAACTAGTAATTCTCAGCACTGTCCGATTCGTACTTTAGTAGTCACGTATTGGATAGTATATGAGTTATAAAGAAGTTCGTGAGCACAAACGAACATATGGTATTTGGGATTCAAACCAGATGCGTAATCACGTACAGCGATATTATCAATTAATAGTGTAGCGGTAAATAAATCCTCAAAATAAATAGCTCTGTAAGTTTTCAACATTAGATGCCGACCACATGTCCTAATGGACTCACCTAGCTGAAGGCGCTCGGTCATGCATCCGCACCAGATCACAAGCTGGAACGCCGATCTCAACAACCCCTGCAATCGCTAGCCAGATTAGATCAGATGATCCTCGATACACTACCAAACATACCTTCGAACCTTCTCGCTTCTGTCTTTTGATCTCACTTGGTGAGTACGATTCATATTAGGTGTTACTGGTTAAAGCGTTGTCAAACTCCGAATACCTGTGGCATCTTCAGTAGGAAAATTGCATATATCGATACAATTTAAAAGTGTTGTATGACTTGCTCTGACGGTTTCAAATATGTATTTGCTTCTTAATATTCTGCACAAATTGAAACTAATAAGTCACAAATTACAATCCAACTGTGTTCATCGGGATGTAAGGATTCATGTAGCCATTCATTAGGTTTTTTTACAGTATCAAATGTGAAGTGCATGTTTCCTAGAGTTCATTTTGTCACCGACATTTGATGACCCTTCCGACTAACTGATAGATCGGCATTATATTAGAGAAATATGGCATCTAGATTACAATTCACTGCTTTTCAATCAAAAATTGAGGTCAAAGAAATGATGAAGACGAGAAACTGTCCAACGACTCAGTTAAACATTAAAACTGAAAGGGCGATCACTCAGCTCGAATGGATATTAAGATTACTATCACCTATAGATCCGTGTATTACTATATCTGATAATAGGAACAGAACTTATTCTGCACTGATTATATCCTAATAAAACAAAATTTTATCAAAAATGAAGAATATTTGAGCGAACAATTGTTTTCAATAACTTCATCATCAGGCTCTACAGTTATAAGTCCATAATCATAATATTTTACAAAGGCAAAAAAATAAGGCATGTATTAATGAATTTGACAATGTTATGCGTTAAAAATGGTGCATGTTTGCATCTGTTACGATATATATAAACTTCAAAATTGTATTATTTGCAAATTAGAAAGGTCATTCAATAAAGGTCAGGATGATTTGGTGTAGTGTTCAGTCACAATAAATAGAATAGTACTACAGCAAAATTGAAAATGCAAAAAATTTGTGACTAAAATGCATAGTAGGAGAACTTAATCTTGTCAATTGAGACAATAATAATAAGATTGGTGTGTGAATATGATATGTAATAAGGAGGGTGATATCAAGGTAATGACGATAAACGAATTAGGAATGACGGATGTGAAGATTTAAGATAGAGGTAATAAAAAAAGAGGGGGTAAGATGTTTATAATATTCAGTTTAGGTATCCGGTGATCCAGTCGTGGGCCAAGGTAAGCAAAGAGGCTGGATATATTTTTCTGGATACGTAAGTTTGGTCTTCTGGAGTCGATCCAGATGGCTTCGGCTATGTAAAGCAGTCGTAATCTAGCTCCTTGAGGTAGATAATTTGGAACTTGATATAAAACAGAAAAAGCTTCCTCTGTTTTGATATGATGTTCACTATCTACCAAGTGAGAAAGAATGGTGCTGTTAATCGCTTTGGTAACTTCTTTTCCCAACCATGCTGTTACATGTTCACGAACACGCAAGGATAAAGCCCTCTGAGTACGGCCTATGTAACTAGCTCCACAGGAGCAGTTGAATTGGTATACACACATGGAAGAGCCCATCTTCGGTAACCTATCCTTGATTAGTTGTGTGAGTACTGGTTTAGTTGAGAAAATAATGTGTATCTTGGCGGCGTGAAACGTCCCTTCGACAGATCTTTTGAGTCGACGTGTTGAAATACCACCCGCTACGTCCCTTTAAAGTCTAGTCTCAGATATAAGGTCTTTTTACTGACTGTGTCACAATTTCTTCTTTTTTTAGTACTTTGTACGAGGTATTTCTTAACGAAATTATCAGGATAGCCATTATTTCGTAATGTGTTCTTTAGTATATCTATTTTGCCATCCACACTGTCTTCAGAACATAATAACTTGATTCTGTGGTTGAGACATTTAACCAAATTTATTTTATATTGAAGAGGTGTGAAGCTTTGGAAATGGGTATATTGACCCGTCCATGTACTCTTTCTAAATATATTTCGCTTTATGGAACCGTCTATCCTTCTAAAAAGTAGGACATTCAGAAAAGCAATATTATTGTCTTTCTCCTCCTCGCTGGTGAATTTAATGGCTGGGTGGACATTATTGAAAGAGTCCAACATCTCCTGTTTGTCGATATTTTCGTCACATATGATTAGTGTGTCATCTATGTATCGACAGTAATAATCAAGCTTACTTAGGATGTCTTTAAGCGGTCCATTTTCTAGCTTGACCAGAAAAATATTAGCAAGGATCGGTCCCAGAGGTGATCCCATTACTACCCCATCTACTTGTCTGAAAAATTCATTGTTAAACTTAAAGTAGATATTCATAGTGCATTTCAACAGAAATTCTTTCATTTTACTTACTGGGATCGGTATCTCTGTTTTCTTTTCTAGCAGTTGTTCACATATGTAATCGATAGTTTCAGTCAGAGGGATGTTAGTGAACAAACTGCTGAAATTTTTATCAGTTAACATTATAATAGTTCTTTCTGATATACCTTAACAAAAAGCTTGTTAACTTTGGAAAGAATCGGCACCTGCTCAAAGATAGCAATATAAATTTAGCGTGTAATAAGATTAAACTGTAAATTTTCTTGAAATAGTTGGAAAGATACTGCAAACCAAGTAACAGATGGTAGCATTGTTTAGGTTTCAAACATGAAGGTATCGCATCAGATCCATGTAAAAATTTAGGTTAAACACAAATGTTGAGTTTTTAATTTCAGGCTATTCAATAACATTACTCGTCTACATAAGTCGTATTTAGATAATTGAACTATCCATATCACTAACCTGAATAACAAACAATCTAACAGTCGTCAATGACTACTGGTAGAGATATTTTCATTAGTATTTTGGTGAAAATGAGATAATTATGTCACTAACAAATTTAGCAAATGTACAGAATACCTTTCAAATTGGTCAGAGTTTAGAAATATTGGCGATTGTATCTCAAATCCATGTTATCGTGAAAGATTCGCCCCGTATTTGTCAAACAGAGCATGTACCAATAAGTGGCTCAAAATTTCAAGTAATGCAATATCTAGATTTTCTTATTACTAGTAGCACTGCAATTACTGAAAACTCACAGAAAATTACCACAAACGAGGCCAACGTAGCAAATTTTCCTTATACAACCGACGATATTGTGATGCCATTTAATACCATGAAGCTTAGCGGGTGACTAACCTATAGGAAGAATTATTGAACACAATATTATAGGTTTCTGCTACATTGATATCGTAACCTGATGCAAAATTCGTAATCTATGTATGAAAGGAATTTAAAAGACCTTGTGCAACACAATAAGAACGAAAGTGGTAATGTAATTTGAATATAATTCAAATTTAAATCATTAGGAAATTGTTATACGTGGTAAAGTAAAAAAAAAAACATCCGATATTTAATCTTATGTTATTAGGTTGTAAAGTGACTAATCGATGGTCAACAATATACCAACCAGTTATTCCAATAAATCACATATCAGTTTCTACAAGAAAAGACCACTGAATTTTAAAATGTTATCCATTTTAGTCACTAATATTCTCCTCCCTAATATTCCAGGTTTTTTCACAGTGATCATTAAAGATTGTTTTCGCAAACTAACTATTAAGTCTTAACCTGCATATCAAATTTAGTAATTTTTTATACACTCCGTCCAACTGATTAACCAGGGGTAAAGTGAGAGTAACCGGAATCCAATAAACCAGTACAGTTTATTCAAATACGGTGTACGAAAATTTCTTGATATGACTGATTTTATTTATTTGTTTAACAATAATCACACTACTGACCTTTTACATGCAACAGAATGAAGAAACTAATTACTTATATCTCAATTTTAGCCAAACATTCAGAAAAATTTGTCACTTTCATGTTTTACCGATATTTGAAGATACACTGGTGATAATCAATAGTAAGGAGACGAGATTTCTACTAATTGAATTCAAACATTAAAGTAGACCTGGTACGGCCGAGAGTGAGGAGAGTCACCTCTTCCTCTCGAAATGCTCTCAAGAGACCACGTGCATACAACCACTGTCAGGGAGGTCCTACTCACTGCCTTCTCGTGGCGGGGGCGTTGTTTACGAAATTGGGAGGATGAAAAGCGAATGTCCAGCGCTTTACCCGGGTTGGTGGATACGGAGGATCCACCTAGGGTAGTTGGAAAACCCTGATTCCAAACCAATGGTGCTCACGGGCTCCAGTATCCTGAAGCAACAAATGTCGTATGAACCAATTGTTGGTCGTCGACTACCATGGGACTGGATTTCCTTACGTTGCTCCACTGCCTTATGGTTTAAATGTTTAGGTCAAAGGCTCGGAATGTGGCCACCTAAGTAAACCACCTGTTTCGGTTCGGGTACCCTGGCATTATCTCACCCCTCACATAAATCGAATGATATATGTTGCGTATATCTATTTGGTGCCTCCTTGTACCAATGTTTATGTGTTTAAATAATAAATATAAATAAGACATTAAGGTCAATTCCAAATATATTATTTTTCTTTGTGTACACAAACGGTGTGGCCTAACCACGAGAACATAAATACGTGCCTGGTAAATGCGTTAACTACTGTCTTTAATTACCATGAATATCAAACAACACTTATTTCAATAAACATCTTTTCACATATTTAATTAGTTTTAATCAGAAATATACAAAAGTGATTTATATTTTATCAAATCTAACAATTAGTCCATTATCGCCTACACACAAAAGAATATCTCCATCGTCAGCAAAACGAGTTTGTCTAATGGCACTGTGACTTAAAGGCATACCACCGGGACCAACTCCACTAACTGTAGGGAAATGAAGTACTTGAGCTGGGAGATTAAGAGCATTTTCAGGATATTTTAAGTCCCACAAATAGACACGTGATGGCCCAGTTCCTGTACCCAAAGCCAGAACATGATTCTTTAAATCTATATCAAAACGAATATACCATAAGTTACAGTCAGTAGCTTTTAACTGATGGATAATGCTTGTCTTGTGTTCGGTCGGGACACCAGGTGCTGGGGGGATAGGCGATTCAGGACCTGTGTATGAGCCAATATGTTGCATCCGACTCGGCAAACGCAGGCCACCAACATCTGTTGAAGTATTACTTGGAGATCCATTGCATAAACTAGGAATATTTGCTGAGGAATCATCTAGTCCACCAGGCTTCCAGAGTGTGACACTGTTTTCACACGATTTTGATATGACTAAAGAGCCAAACCAACGGGCACAGTCAACATAATTGCCATGTACATCACGAGAACTAAATTCAGGGAAGTGTTGAACGAGCACAGGGAACGGCCTACGAAATAGCGGTTTGAGAGAAATATGGTTGCAAAAAAATAGCTCATTATAATGAAAACAGTGAGAACACAGATAACATAGAAATGTTTAGTTTTATTTATCATATAACTAGGCGAGATAATTTTCTGAATGTCTGCGACTACATTCCTAGTGGTAAGGCTTTGATGTTGCATAACCGTGAATCATGGGTTCAGTGACACTGCGTAGCGTACATATGATTAAGATATACTGGATAAATACAACGAAAGACACTAGTTTACTCTCAAACTGATTATGAATATATACTATACTTCCCTAACTACATCCCATGGTCCTGTGATGTGTGCTACTGATGTCAACAGATAGAAGCAGTATGTATCGTCAATCGAAAGTGAAATACCTGACAGCAGATGGTTAAGAAGAGCGAAGAAATGGGAACGAGAACAGTAAGTGGTTGCAGTGGAAATGAAAGAAGAGTGAAGTCTGAGACGATTGACTGATATTTGCAAAAGGAACAGTTAAGTTTGAGACAATTGATCGACAGTTTACAAATTAAGTATTTACTGTATGGTCCTCAGACTTTACTAAGAGATTCTGTAATTTTGTGTTCAAATACATTCGATTGCCCCCCATTTGTGTTCTCGTTCACTACAGTCCTACTGAGAACAGATAAACAGGTTTATCCCCGTTCAGTTGGCTTAAAGAGATTCTTTCGTACATTTAGATATCAGAACACCGCTTGTTACGACGGATAACAACATTTAATGCTGAAGCAGCACAAAATGTAGTCACGAAGACACGCTACTGAAGACTCCTCGATGAAACGGAAACCGTCATCTAGAGTTTCCAACTTTTTTATTGATAATCAAGCTGATATCAGTTCCTGATGAATTTGTTCCTAGAAATACCTTGTTTATTTCCCATAATCAGAGGGGATATTAGCATTAGTCCAGTAAACACTTGATATAGAATGATAACATGTATCCTTGTTGGTCTTAGAAAGAATCAGAGTTCTAGCTGTGTTATAGTGCTGATATGGGGATTAAACACGAAAGGGAGTCAGTCATTACAGGAATATTGTCCTTATACAAAACACATCTTAAAATGAAATAAAGGTAGGAGCCTGTTATGTAAGCGTGACTATATAGTTTCACATTGATAATCACCGGATAGTTTAAATGTTAAATTCTTGATAGAAATTAAATTGCAAACAAGTATGAGGGATGTATGTTAGATTCTACATTTTCTGCGATTTTACTCAGTAAAAAATTAGTTTAACACTTATTTCCAGTGAATTTCTCTAGCATATTCGGTCAAGTGACCTGGTTGTCTTGAATGAGATATGGAAAACGGTAAGTGAATAAATTATTCGATTTGGTGGTTTTTTATAAACTATTAATTTTTGGATATTTCTAATAGTAGTAAAAATTGATCAGAGAACTAGTAAAAAATCTAAAGTTCTCTAATCTTAACTTGAGGTTCTTCAGTAATGCTGGATGGTTTTTGATGAATTCAGATCATATAACTATGTGACAGTTCATCAGCAAACCAATTAAGAGGGGAATTGTGGTTTCAAGTCAGAGACTATAACCAGGACTCAGAGTTATTATTTAAGTGAGATACCGATTAAACACTGTGTTACACAAGACACCACTTGTAGCAGAGAAAAAATTGGTGTAAATGGTGAGTTGACTGTCAACTAAAATCAACAGATTACACTGAAAAATAGGAATATTCATCCTCGAGACATTTGATAATGTAATATGTCACTTACTTAGGATTCGAACGTGAGCGGTAATTAAATGAATCTATTACCGCATTGGCTAATTCAGGAGTATTAAGCCGCCAAATTTTCACGCAATGATCCATACCGGCAGATAGCAGAAGATCACCTGTAAGGGATAGGTCACCATGTAAAACTTCAGCTCGGTGACCTTCAGCTCCACCAAAAATACATACGAGCACGTGACTAGCTATATTCCACAAACGAATGGTATAATCTACATAATGACAAATGAAGTGGACGTAACAGAAGGGAAGTCTGAAGTTTATATGTTATTCATGAAGAACTCCAACAACATTAATTGTTTGGATATGAATAACATTATACCAACTAAAACGAAATATACGAACACGTAGCAAACGACGTGGGAAAAGCTGAAAACATCCCTTTATAATTTAGAACCCTGAAATTTCATGTGAGATACATAAACTATTAAAACTATGCATTTTATTTGAGAATGTAAACAAATTTATATTGATTCATTTTGTATCATTTGTTTGAATAATCCCATTGATGTTTAAGACTGCAAGTGATTAGTCTCTTATTGGCATATGTGCATCCTGTGCGGATTTCCTCGATGTTGCCTGAAGTCACAAGCATTACAAGCAAAGATGGATGGCGGCTAGCGGTGGAATCCATTGATTAGCATACCATGAAACACATTGTCTGATTGAAGTTGAAAATGACTTTTATGGGTTTAAACTTTGAATTAGGAACAGTACTGATTTAGGTCCCTAAGGGGTTGAAAGAAATATTTAAAATCATATTTTCCATTCATCATTCACAGAGTATCTGGGCTACAAAAACTGCTTTTCTCAGTAGCACCGAAAATCAAGCTGAAGTCGATTGTGATCTTTATATGATTAGCTGGAGTAGGAGATATGCATCATGAGCGTGATTCATCCTACTATACGGCTATTAGGTGTGACCGCTGAATATAGGATGATGTCGAAAGATTAAACGTGTTTTATCATAAGCGTAATTAAAGTATAACTTGCTTCTGGTGGACCATATGAGTGAAGTCAGACGTAGCTTTAAGTGTCAAAAGTAAGTAGTTAGAAGCCTACATAAACCAAGTCGCCTGTTAGTTGCACCTAGCAAACAGCTATCTTGAAATTACGATAACCGCCTAAATAGAAGTAAGTTGAAAATTGTTGAATGTGGTTAGACGAAAATATGAAATTCTTCGATTAAATCAGCATCTTCGATTTCTATTAGATATTAAAAATTAGAAATTTCTAAATTTTAATATCTAATAGAAATTGAAGACAGAGTATGAAAATTTTGATTGTCTTTGAACTATATATATATATATATATATATATATATATATATATATATATATATATATATATATATATATATATATATATATATAAGTTTCAGGAAAAATTGAGATGCACAAGGTGAGATGGATGAGTTATATATAACTTATCCTGAGACAACGCTTAGCCTAATATTAGTGTTAGCAAAGTTTTTGAAGAAAATGTGGTCAGATCAAGGGACGAAACTAATTCATGAGGCCTTCTACCAAGGGTATGATTGATGTGCATGAAAGTAAACTTCCTAAATGAATTCAATCATAAAAAAGACAGTTATCGGAGACCTTGGATGATATAACTGACTGACTGAACAACGCTGATACAAAAGTATTCACCATTTATCTTCCTAGAGCACCTGTATATCTCTCAACTATCGACTCCTTTTCGCTTTTCATTTTATAATCTGCTTACTTCTGTCAATATCCCATTCTTTTGATGCTACGAATTGTGGCGACTCAAATTCACACATTTTTGTGGGCGATTGTAGACAGTTTTACCAATCTTACTTAGTGTTCTAGAATCTTATTTTGCACAACGTATTTATTTGCAAATTCTTTTCACTTTTAACAGCCATATTCGAATATCCACTCCACTATGACAGTACATATTCACACTAACTTTTAACATACCTCACTTGTATATGTAAGTTAACCTTTGTTTTTAAATTTAATCGTAAACTATTATAAATCGGACAGGTTGATGAGGTCCTAATGAACGTCAAAATATTTGATTTTGTTACTTATAAATTCAGCCAGTAACAAAGTTTTCTATTTATTAGTTTTGAATTGTTATAAATCAACTAAATGTAACGAGTCAATCAGCTACAACATGGGACCAGGCATATACATGCATCGGTCCAGGTTGTCACACCTCATTAGCACATCAAGATGAACACCGGATTCATAGAAGCAGTTAACTCAATGGTGTAATAAATAAGTGAAAGATTTTATGTAAGGCTATAGTACAGAAAGAAAGAATTAGTTAGTAGAAAGAAAGATATGAAATAATTTTAATCTGATAGTTTAAGGGAAGATAGAAAGAGTATACACTGACACCATTGTGATCGATTCGGAGCCATGTCATCCAGCCTCCACCTATTAGTTACGATGGTCACGCGAACCCCAATCAAGTAGTTTGCATCTATCAACATGGCTCAAACCAGAAGTTAGTGATTTTATGGACTATGCCACGTTTTGGTTTGGCCACACCTAAATTTCTTCCATCCATCTCCAACACCAGTCAGCATAGAGCGCCGTGGTATTCGGCGATTGGGCATACGTAATACGTTGCCCAACCACCTCAGTCGATAAATATCCACAACCTCATCAACTGATTTACCATCATTCCCTAATACCATGCATCTAACCTCACTATTACTTACTTTGTGATCCCAGCAGATGCGAGCAATATTTCCAAGACATTTGTGGTTAAATACTAGTAACTTGCGAATAGTCTCTACCCTTGATGGCCACGTTTCGCAGTCGAAAAGTAGAATCGAACGAAGTGCTGCACAGCATACTTGTCCTTTTATTGATAGACGGATATCTCGCATTCGCCATAGGTGACGTAAGTTGGCAAAAACTAAACGAGCTATTTAAATTCGTGCAGAGATTTCGTCAGACACCAACTCATTAGGACTGATAAGACTTCCAGGATAAGTGAAGTTGTCGACGCGTTTGAATACTTCACTCCCTATCCTTAGTTCAGGTGTTGACTCAAGTGGGTTCTAAAGTAACAACTTGTATTTAGAGGGGGAGAAACGCATTCTAAACACCCTGACACTGTTGCTCAGTGCTATCAAAAGACTCTGCATTTTATCAGCGTCTTCACCAAACAGGACTATATCATCTGCGTATTCTAAGTCGATAAGTGGACGAGTTGGTAAAATTTGTAGGCAAGAATTAGTACAGCTTCAGATGGATATATTTTTAATGAACTGATTGATTTAACTATACTATGGTTGTATATAATTATTAGCTTTTGTTATTACAGACAAATACAAGGTGTGAAATACATCTGAACGTAGTAAGCGAATTGTATATTTTATGTCTATAAAACACTAGGATTAGTTAATCAGTGACTCATAAAATATTTCATTTACCTTTACTAAAAGAAAATAATAGAGCAGGGTCTCTTGGGTGAAATCTTAGCTCATTAATAGATGATCCGTGGCCAACAAGACTAGCAGGACAACTAGCCATACTAGGACAGAGGATTCGAATTACACCACGTTTACCTGCAGCTGCTACTACTTGCTGATGAGCAGGTAGAAGTGATCCACTGGAAGAGCTGATGGGACCTTGATGAGGATGAAGAGTTGGACGTGGTCGGCGACTTTCACAGCAATCAGTCCACCAACTAGATGCTACATTACCACTTGTATCACGCGACCAAGCACAACAATAAAACTCTTCTTTATCTCCAGCAGGATCGGCAAAAGATTGGAGTAGACTAACAGATGACATATCAGAACTCTGAATAGATTTATCTTCCAGATTATTCTTCAGACTACATTGATAAACTGTAACCTACATATTATGAGTAAAAGTAAAACATGGAAATATTAGGACTGGGATGAAGAAATAAAACAAATTAACGTAAACAGATGAATTAAAAGCGATTGAGTACATTTGACTTTGGTAATTCGAAACTTACATAGTGACTAGCAACTGTAGCAAAAAGAAGCGGATCAGTTGGTTGACTTCGGTTGACTGAATTAAACGCAACACCGAAAACAGATTGGCTATGTGTTTCACGTATGATGCATGTTGGTTTATACTGGAAGTTTGGTACAGTTGCGGTTTCTACTACGTTAGGAAGACTATTCATTAGATTTGTTGGAGAAGAAGCTTGACTGGGATGCTCGATAGTTTTTGGTGAGAGAGAAAAAGAGTGAGGATTACTATTCACTGTTCTTTCTCTTTTATTAGGCGATGCAAAATTATTTGATTGAGTCATATTTTGAGTATGCACAGGACTGTCTGTATACCCATTCATAAGTCTAAAACAATAAAAATACATTTAAAATTCAGCACAAGGAAACAAAAAATCTGAAAACTTTTGATATTTTGGAAATAATCTCGATCTCCATTTAGACATATCTATGGAATGACAAAGGCGCTAATATTAGCCTGTTAGTTTTTCGAACACAAGCTGAAAATTTGTTACTGCTACGAAATCTTCGACTGAAATGAATACTTTTTTGATTTTCTTAATATCGTCTTAACTATGTCGAGATTGAGAATTATGCCCACTGACATATAGACCTTCGACTAATTGACTTTATGGACATTTAATGTTACATTATGTATAGCACTTTAAGACGCGTGTACGCCAGTAGGAGTTATTTATTTATTTAAACACATAAACATTGGTACAAGGAGGCACCAAATAGATATACGCAACATATATCATTCGATTTATGTGAGGGGTGAGATAATGCCAGGGTACCCGAACCGAAACAGGTGGTTTACTTAGGTGGCCACATTCCGAGCCTTTGACCTAAACATTTAAACCATAAGGCAGTGGAGCAACGTAAGGAAATCCAGTCCCATGGTAGTCGACGACCAACAATTGGTTCATACGACATTTGTTGCTTCAGGATACTGGAGCCCGTGAGCACCATTGGTTTGGAATCAGGGTTTTCCAACTACCCTAGGTGGATCCTCCGTATCCACCAACCCGGGTAAAGCGCTGGACATTCGCTTTTCATCCTCCCAATTTCGTAAACAACGCCCCGCCACGAGAAGGCAGTGAGTAGGACCTCCCTGACAGTGGTTGTATGCACGTGGTCTCTTGAGAGCATTTCGAGAAGGCACCAAATTTATTTATTTTAACACATAGATATTGGTACAAGAAGGCACTAAATACATATGAGTACAAGAAGGCACCAAATACATATGAGAGGAAGAGGTGATTCTCCTCACTCTCGGCCGTACCAGGTCTACTCTAATGTTTGAATTCAATTAGTAGAAATCTCGTCTCCTTACTATTGATTATCACCAGTGTATCTTCAAATATCGGTAAAACATGAAAGTGACAAATTTTTCTGAATGTTTGGCTAAAATTGAATGAAGAAACAAATTACTTATATCTCAACCACTGTCATGGAGGTCCTACTCACTGCCTTCTCGTGGCGGGGGTGTTGTTTACGAAAATGAGAGGACGAAAAGCGAATGTCCGGCGCTTTAACCGGATTCCAAACCAATGGTGCACATGGGCTCCAGTATCCTGCGGAAACAAATGGCGTATGAACCAGTTTTTGGTCACCGGCTGTCACGGGACTGCATCTCCTCACGATGCTCCACTGCCTTGTGGATTAGACCTTCAAGTCGAAGGCCCGGGGTGTGGCCCTCTAAGAAAACCACCCGCTTCGGTTTGGGCACCCGGGCAGTATCACAGCCCTCACACAAATCAAATGAGATTTGTTTGGCGCATATGTATTTGGTGCCTCTTTGTACCAATATCTATGTGTTAAAATAAACAAATAGTTGGCTTGGAAAACAGTATACTTTATCTTGTTTTTATAATAAACATGCAGTGATGAATTGGTAGTTACGACACTACGTTTCTGGTCAACAGATGGCACGTTGGGAACCCGTCACACATAATCTTAACACGGAAACCCAGTAGTATCATAACCCCTTGAAAAATCGTTGAAGATTAAAAGTGAGTATGCAATCCTGCACTTTGAAAACGAGCTACATAATGGAAATCATTGAAATTTTAACTGTTTTGCAGTCACAGATATTATGATAGTTTCGTCGTTCTTTACAACTGTAAGAGTGAAAGTATAACTTATTATATCAGCATTAGGAGTAGTATTCAACAAAATTTAGAATCACTGGAATGCTACATAAAGTTTTTAAAGTTTTTATTGAGGTCAACTACTAACTGACTCAAATCTGGGTTTTGATAGTAAACGAATAAAACAATGACAACAAGGTATGCGCATAATATATCAGTTACTGGAAAAATCGGTCTACTGACCGCAAGAAAATTTTTACGCAAACCAATTATCGATGTTAAATTATCATCTGTAGTTAAGTCTAATCCGCACGTCAAGATAGCAGCTACGATCAGATGACGACTAGTGGAAACAAAGTTTCATTTCTCTATTTGTTCTGTAAGGTTCAATTTAGCAAATATAACAGACTTAGATACAAATGATTACCAATCAAGTTCTGATACATCCCAGAGACACAAAAAAATAGTGCGCAAATTAAATGAACGAGCTATGAAGTATAGCTATCCCTGTAAAAATAAACTAGATATTTATTAAGCGTCACTATAACATGAAAATAGTATTTTTGAGCAAATAATAGCTCCCAGATATAACGTCTTACTAAAATTATCGAGTATAGAGGCAGATCAAGGTACGATACTTGTTTGTCTAATAATAATAGGTTAATGTTCAGAGTTTGTTTATTAAATACACAAGATAGTTATTATGATAGTCAATAAAAAACTCAGTTGAATAGGTCTATAAGATTAATATTGTGATCGTTTCTAGGGTATATATCAGGTTGATATGCACTGCCAACCTTGATAGCAGTTGCGTTTTGCTACTGAAGAATTCGTCAAGACAAAAGCATGTTACACTAGTGGGATTAGTGACCACCCATGTAAAAAAGGACCTAATTTTTTGAGTGAAATAAACTTTTGCAGTTTCTTTAATAACTCCTTTTGGAACACACTAAAGTCACTGATTTGAAAACAAGTACAACTTAGAGTGGCATCCAATTATATACTAGTGCATCAGATAATAAATGGGAGAACGAATTTCCTTGAACTTCATTGGACGCCGAAAGCCACATTAAGAAAACCCATTAGAATTTAACGCAAAGATGAGAAAACCAAAGGTAAATTCCATTAATAAGTGAAGTCACACTTAGGCAATTTTGAAAACATGGTTGACCCAGATGTTGCTTGCAAATACATACGAACAGCTGTGGAAACAGCAGCGAAATCTATTAGTGATTTAAACCAAACGTTTACGAAAAACCAATGGGTTTCCGCTGCATCTATTGTACTGATAGACTCGCGTAAGCTTATCCCATCAGGCTCCGAACATAACGATGGGCGAGAACAAATCAGATATAGATTAATCAAAAGACAAAAGAACGACCGTGAGCAGTGGTGGGCAACGAAAACAAGAGATAATGGAAAGGCAGATGCCGTAGGTAACACCAGACAGCTTTATATATAAAAGAAAGATTGCATATAGGAAAATAATACAAGAAGAAAGAACTGGTTCGTAGAACGAAAGGTACAAACCAGTTTCAATCTCACGGTTTAAGGGAAGACAGGGAGTGTATACACCGACGCCATTGTGATCGGTTCGGAGCCATGTCATCCAGTCTTCACCTATTAGTTACGATGGCCGCGCGGATCCCAATCAAGTAGTCTGCATCCACCAACACGGCTAGGACTAGAAGTTAGTGACTTCAAGCACTGATGCCACGTTTTGGTTTGGCCGCTCCTCAATAATTATCGGACGCCCAACTAAGACTCGTAAACTACAAATATGAGGAAACCAGGCTGGCTTCAGACCTAGTCGTAGCTGCATCGACCACATGTTCAACATTTGCCAGATTCTAAAACACAGGCATGCTCATCGGCATCCAACAATGACAGTTTTTCTTGACTTAAAAGCAGCATTTGACTCCACTGACCGGGAGGTTCTGTAGCAGTACCTGTCATTGAAAGGTGTACCTCAGAAGTACGTAAACCTTGTGAGGGTTCTTTACTCGAACACTACCAGCCGAGTCAGAGCTTATGTAGAATTGTCATCGGATTTCATAATCTCAAGTGGTGTCCAACAAGGCTGTCCACTATCACCATTTTTGCTCAATTTCATCATAGACTGAATTTTCGGAAATCGACCAACCAGGTCCCCTTATTGACTTAGAAGACTCAGATAACATGCAGAGTCTTTTGATAGCACTGAGCAACAGTGTCAGGGTGTTTAGAATGCGTTTCTCCCCCTCTAAATACAAGTTGTTACTTTAGAACCCACTTGAGTCAACACCTGAACTAAGGATAGGGAGTGAAGTATTCAAACGCGTCGACAACTTCACTTATCCTGGAAGTCTTATCAGTCCTAATGAGTTGGTGTCTGACGAAATCTCTGCACGAATTTAAATAGCTCGTTTAGTTTTTGCCAACTTACGTCACCTATGGCGAATGCGAGATATCCGTCTATCAATAAAAGGACAAGTATGCTGTGCAGCACTTCGTTCGATTCTACTTTTCGACTGCGAAACGTGGCCATCAAGGGTAGAGACTATTCGCAAGTTACTAGTATTTAACCACAAATGTCTTGGAAATATTGCTCGCATCTGCTGGATCACAAAGTAAGTAATAGTGAGGTTAGATGCATGGTATTAGGGAATGATGGTAAATCAGTTGATGAGGTTGTGGATATTTATCGACTGAGGTGGTTGGGCAACGTATTACGTATGCCCAATCGCCGAATACCACGGCGCTCTATGCTGACTGGTGTTGGAGATGGATGGAAGAAATTTAGGTGTGGCCAAACCAAAACGTGGCATAGTCCATAAAATCACTAACTTCTGGTTTGAGCCATGTTGATAGATGCAAACTACTTGATTGGGGTTCGCGTGACCATCGTAACTAATAGGTGGAGGCTGGATGACATGGCTCCGAATCGATCACAATGGTGTCAGTGTATACTCTTTCTATCTTCCCTTAAACCGTGAGATTAAAATTGTTTTGTACCTCTTTGCTTTGTACACTTTTTGTCTTCCATTTAATCCTGATTGAAACTACTTTACACCTTCCATTCAACGAAACTCCGCCTGTAGCTGTTTTAGAGTTACAGCCGGTCCAAAGCATGGGTAAATAAGTGGTGGGAATAGGGTCAGCAACCCCATCCCGCTAAAAAACGCTAATTACAATAGACAAACTACACCACTTAAACTCTGCCCTGGGACTTGAAGGATCTTCATCCAGAAGAGTTATGACGCCTCATGGTGAAAGCCAATATTTTTCGGAAGTCACGTGTTCGACGTCCCTTCTAACAACCTTTCTGCCCAAGACGGAGTTCGATAGAGAATGGTGATAAGCGGTCTACGCTCCTCTACAAGGGATATCAGGAGTAAGTATGTAAGTTTCTTTCCAGGAACCAATTTTTTCCCCCTATATCATATCCTTATATGCAATCTTTTGATATATTACTACCATTGAAGTAACTGCTTCCATGAATTTGGTGCTTATCTTGATGTGCCAATAAGGTATGGTAACTTGAACCGGTGCATATATGTGCCTGGTCCTACATTGTAGATGAATGACTGATGAAAACTGAAACAATCCTATTTCGTTTCGAGTTTTGAGCTGAAGTTCAGAAAAACAGCCTTGAACGAAACTATGACAAAAATCTAACAAAGTAAAGACACAACTACCATAGTGAATGAATAGAAGTATTAATCTATAATGTGGGATCTATAAAATCTAAAGGTTACGTAATCAAAGAGAGATAGAAACCTACCATTGATTTTGATCAATTGAGTAATTACGTATGGAATTTAATAAAAGGAGTGGATGTCAGTGAAGACGGTTCCGTCTTTATTCATGTCTGTTAATGTCTCAGACTACTGAGTTAAATGCTCTGCTGGACCTTTCCAGGAAGCTGTGTCAACAAATGCTAGTCTTGTACGACACTTTTATTCCCCAGATGTCATAAACTGACTGTATTTTCACAGCGCTGGGAAGTAATGTGCAGTATAGAAGCTATTCAGATATCATTCGTAAAAAATACCCAAGTTATTGAAGACAAAGTTTCAATATATTTATTTGGTTGCGATCACTACGTCCAAACGCATTACCGGAATTAAACATTACTTGCGTTGTGTCGCCAGAGGAATTGATCGGTTTAAGGACAACCATTATAGAACATGGAACTGTTCAACAACCTCATTTGGGATAAGCCAGATTTTATATGCCTAATCCACAACTACTCTTAACATATTTGTATACCACACATTTTACAGCCAAGCTAATAACAAGGAAGATGGTCTCGACTAGGATAAAACGCTCTGACTCTCTTTAAGTACAGTAATCTGACTTATCACAACCCAGCTGGCACTCACACTTATCCAAATACATAAAAATCACGAATATTTAGCTGCTAACAATGAGGTGGGCTCACTTACTGGATATGGTGGGGGACTTAGGATTTTAGATGTAATGCTACATAAAAGCTACTCACTAAAGGTTTGAAAGCTCAAAATATTTTTGTGATAGTACTGTTCACTAGCGATCAATATGTTCACCTCAACAACTGAAGATGACAGATTGGTTAACCAATAAAAGTGTCCAACTGTTTAGTTTAGGCTTTGAAAACAAAAACATGATACTTAGTTCTAACGCTATAAAACCGGAGATTTCAAAATACTTCAGTACAAACCTTAAACACTCAAACAGAAATGATACGAAGGCTTTAAGACTGATACAATAGCTGGTATTCCGATGATGCACTTACTAAACCACCTGCTTTATTTTTACTTACTGTGTATCTCGAAGTGATTTCTGGTCAGGTAGTCTTGGTTTAGATGTAGTAAACGTCAAGTACAGTTTTCTGGCCTGACACATTCATGAAAAAACGCCAAAAGTTGTGGTTTTTAGGTAGACAAGCAGTCGAGATGTTTATGGAAACAAGGAAAAATACAACATGAATCAGATCAATATTTGAATGGCTATGACCGTGAAGAACTTGGGTTAACTTTATTAATAGTATTCTAGAAAATAGGACACGTGCACCCGTGGCAAATAATCACTGACCCACTACCTGTAAAACGTAACTGTTATGTTTGCCGCATCAATGGATGTAAACTGAGGAAAACAAAGCAAAAAATAAAGAAGTGCATACAGACTTCCGGAAGATTTTAGTTCATTTCTTCAGTTTGCAGTACAAGCTCCCCAACGACAGCACAGATTCTAAGCTCCGTGCCGGTGTTACCATCTTGTGAGTAAGTTACGACATACTTGAAGAAAAACCAGAATCACAAAATAACAAGATATAACATTATTAGTCATGGGCTGTATGCCAGATCGTTCTTTAGAAAAGACCGAAAAGGATTCAAAACATAGAATTCGGAGCATAGTTTCTCATCCAGATATTTTATTTTAGTCACATTACTATTTAAATATTACCTAGCGAAGCCACTTAAACACGAGCATAACCTTGAGGAAGAAAACAATGCACTAAAAGCACATTGAAAAGAAATAAAGTCCACGGGCTAGAAGAATAAAAAAATGATTGTACAAACAGTTTTAATACATTTTTAATTTGCAACTCTATCATTATATTTCTGGTGCTAGATAATAATGATGGCTTCACCGTGTAATGTCAGATGCATTCCATAAGAAGGCCATATTCTTCTTGTTTCTCAGTCCTGACAAAGATTTCATGCTTTTAAAATCCAGCTCAGTTACTCATATCAGGTCAATAAAGCTATCGTATGGAGGTTTAGGGTGATCTTATCCGCAACGCAACCATGTAAACTTAATGTATCGCACACTGTCATTTGTGCGTTCAAGTAACCACAGATTTTGTCATTTCATAATGTATTTTTATTAAATAACTAGATTATGTAGGAAATTTTACTCTGTTTTTAATTTTTATTCGCCACGTCCGACTGCGTTACACTGTACGTCCATTGCACGCTGTGATGATATCTCAAGTCATAGTGAGTTTATTCACATAGCTGATTGTTTCCAGATAGACTGTCAGTGCATGATTTTACTGAAGAAAGGTTTGTTGTACTGTAAACTGTGTTTCTATGAACAACTCCCTGTTGTCTTCAGTATGAATTCATACTGAATACTGCTTTAAAGCAGTATATATGTATCCTTCTTTTTTTCTTAGGTAAGTTCAACTGGCCTATATTTCGTGTTTTGGTTTTATCGGCTTAATTATGTCCATTTAACTACTTTGAGCAACATGTCTGTGCAAATGAAACAATAACTATGACACTTGCTTAGTTTAAACTAAGAACAATTGTTCTTGGTTGTCGTATAATTCAGTTTAGTTGAAAGAATTATGATATACTTAAGTATAGTGCTTGAAGCCTGTAACGAAACAGATCAGTTTAGTAAGTAGAGTTGCCTGTTTCAAATGTGTATACGGATTCAAATCAGTCTGATTAAAAATAGGAAAAAAACGTGCCTTTGATGCTGTTACTGTCATACATTATAAGATAGCGATAAGTATGTTTGGTGTTTATTTCTAAACTGTACATCTATCACTGACCATATTTCATGATCACTGTCATTAAACAATTTCCCCAGCAATAACATCGGTAGCAAGATTGCCCGTAAAACAGCAGTATACAGTCTTAGAAGTTGAGTGTTCTGTGTCTCAATTAAATGCAGCTGGCTGTGGACAAATGTTAAGAATCTTTTTGACAACTGGGACTTTTAGTTTATCAGACACTTACTCTGCTTGTATGTTTTCCTGTTAAACTAGACGCAGATGCATGGGAATACTTAAATGGGAGCAAAATAATAAAAACATTGCAATACGGTACTAAGCCCATGTTATGCTTTGCGCAAGTAATATTAGCTGACCTTATCTAATATTCATGAACTCAAGGTAAATCACAACTGCATAAATTCTTTGCTAAAAAACATGTAATTTGGTTATTTATCTATTCCACATTTCTGACTAAATTCATCACTATTTTTTTCATTTAGAATGCAACAGGAGTGAGCCTTCACAGACCCTAAAAACTGTTTCGCCCTTGGAACTGATTATGGGAGACCCAACGAACAGCAGATTAAAAAGGATGCTGGACTTCCATTTTAGTCTCACAACCACTTCCAGTATTTTTTGACTTCTTTTAATCTTTCGTTTGGAAAAAAACAAAAACTGCAGCTTAACATTACCAACACAACTTTTAAACGGGAACTTGGTTCAAACCTTTGTTTGATATTCGATTCTTAATGAAAGTTCTTGAATAAATTTTTGAATCTAATGCTACTTTGTTTTATCTACTTAATCGTTGCAAGAAACTTGTGATAAGCGAGCCTCTCAGCACCTAGTTCATGTGTTCAAATGGTTGTGGACTGAATATAAGCTTTCGCTTAACAGGCTTCCGTGTCTAGTAGCAGGGGGTCACCAAAACCTCCAGGCAGGAACCTAGGTATGTTAACAATAAAAGAGGAAAGAGAAAATGGTAAATCATAGTATGATACTATCCTTAAGAATAGATCCACTTGCCTCCTAAAGGACTCCTGGGAAGTCGCTTGGACTAGCTCGGCGGGCAGCGGATTCCAGCATTTGACAACTAAGGAGTAGAAGTTGCGTCTACAGTCCGTTCTGCTATGTTGTGTCGCTAGTTTCTGGGACTAAGCTTAAGTAGGTGTTTTAGGGGATGTCCAGAAGTGTTAAGGTTATTGTAAGCCATTAGGTCACCTCTAAGACGTCTGTACTCTAATGAGTAGAGGTTAAGTGATTGGAGGCGCTTTTCATAAGGCGATTTGGTGCATATCTTCGTCATTTTCTTGCGAGACTTACATACTCGGGTCCTCTCATAACTTATTCTAACCACCATGGGTTGTCACGGCAGCTGATGGATGGACACGAGTTACACATCCTAACCGTACCTGCGTCTTATCTTATAGCTTCTAATTCAAATGACAAGCAAGCAATGCCCCTACCCGCACTAATGTAACACTAGTAACTAAAATGCACCCCGTATGGTACCTTACACTGGTTTACGCACTCGCTTAGCTCTTTAGTGAGAATATTAATACGGTCCTACTGAAAATCCCATGAATCCCTTTACCTTCATCAAAACAAATAAGTCTGTATTTGCTGCATATAGCAATTTTATTTTCAGAAGTAAGATATAACAGTTAGAATTGGAGTAAAATGGCAGTATACAGCAGATGCACGTGGTACATGTCTTCATCGATTAACTGAAATAGAGAATACGGATATTAGCTTAAAAGGCTTATTTAGAAAGACTAGTGTCTAATTTGAACTTACTGCGTGAGAAAGTTATACTGGAACTACGAATAATGTAGGAATCTAGTCTCCCAGGGCGTACGAAGCACTCAGACTGTAAGACAGTTGTCCAAAAATAATTCGAATATGAAGGTGAAAATTTGCAGGCACTTTTCATCGTAAGGGTGAACATATTAGGTACCAGTTGACATCATACCGTAAAAAAACACAAATTTGCGAGTGGTGAAATATGATCTATAAAAAAGTGAGCTTAATTAACAGTTAGTTACCCTTTTACTCCCTGATCATGACCTTTCGCCTTCCTTTTATGGCCAAAACAGCAAACATACACTACACACTGGTAGCAGATTTCCGGCTTTTCAATGTTAAGCTTGCTTTAACGCACTGCGTAATGAGTACAACCCCTCTATTACTGCTATATGGCATATTCTTCATAACAAACCCTCTGCAATAGATTGGTAGCATCTGTGACTTCATCTATAGTTGTCGGAAGTCTGGTTTCTTTCGAAATCAATACCGATATACCCTACTTCTGGGCACTCTGTATTAGTTTGACTCGTTGGTGGGATAGTGTTGTCCATTAAACTGAAGAAAATTAAAAAACGCAAATTGTTTCCTCTCGTTTTGCCGATAACATCATAAAGGACAGTTAGGAACGAACATGCGAACAGTTAGTCACAGGCGGCAGCAACAATTATTATAGCTAAATAAAAACGAACTTCGGCTTTGGATATCTAGAAAACAAGGTAAAACATAACCGATTGTCGTTTAAAAACGTAAGGTCTTATGTTAGTACTAGCCAGCTTAGCTGAATAAATACAGTGACTTCAGTAGCAGCAGGTAAAACCCAGGAAACAAAGCGGAATCAGGATAAATTTTGCTCGAACGTTTAGAGTATTACACTAACTTTTGTATTTTAGCACACTGAAACATTAAATTCTGTAGCTACACAAAAGAAATAGCGGAAAAAACACAGAACGAAGAAAGCCGGCCGACATTTTATAACACAAGACTAGCCAGATTGCCTGAAGAAATACATTGACTTGAGTAGGAACAGCAAAAACCCAGAAAACATCGCTGATTCGAAATAAACTTCACACCAACATATAGAACATTACACTAACTGCGGCATTTTAGCACATTGAGACATTAAATTACACAACTACACAAAAGAAATAGCTGAAAGAAGCACAGAACGAAGAAAGCCGACCGCCATGGGATGTAATAATTCCCGCCTCATTCTGATTGGTTGCTAAGCTGAAGGGTACATTTACGAAATTGAGTTGCGTTTAATTGCAGCCGAGGTTTATGATATTGTCATGCAATAAGTATTATATACAGAAAATATTGATTTATATGTGAAAATTACGTTTGATATGACCTTCGATTTTATGTCCAAAACAATCTGTCACGCTTGATTCATTTGCTGAAAATCTCATGAAATGTGTGCAAGTGGTAGTGTGGATTAATTTATTGTAAGAGAAAGGGGAATAAAAGGATTGGAGTGGTTATAAACCAAAAAAACATTTCTCAACCAATTTCAAGCAGCAGGTAAGTTAACACTGTGTAAAACCCTCTGAAAGTGAAGTGCTCATCGACGACTCTGTGGCTTATTCAAATGGCGAGGGTTTTCGTATTACTACCCAATGTTAGGATGTCATTACCAGGCTAAATAAGTCTCCTATCCATCAGATATCAACAACACTTCTGTTGATTCCATCCATTAGTAGAAAATATGCATTGGATAATTGCGTTGTTTCATCACACACGCAGTTCTGTAGATCTATCATTTCACGTTTAGATTTGAAGTTCTTGCACATTTCTCGAGGCACACAAAATACAAATAGAACTGACTTTGAAATTTCGAGCAGAATTTCTATTGCAAATATAATGAATCATACACGACTCAAAGTAAATATACTTGTAACATGTGCTACTTGTTCCCCCATTCATTTCGTAGTATGTCCCACTGAGCGAAGTTTCGAAGAAAGATGGAAATGACTATTTGCTACGTAACTCTAGTTCAGTCTTCATTTATTATCCTAATTCGAGGGAGAAATTTCCAAAAACTTGTAGTGCGGCGTTGAGTCGTGGTTGAATATGATCACCACTACAGGAAAACTACGTGCCAGTTAACCGACAAGATCCCCCGCAGGCCAAATATCAGGAGGCTGTTGATGGCTGTAGTCGAGATGTATTTGTTGTCGATCTCGTGGTATCGAAAGTATACCGAGATCGTGCCAAAAGAGTACAGGCGGAATCACCGAGCAAACGTAAGCGCGTGCAAGGTCACAATCAACGAAAGGAAGAATGTCGTTAGTACAGCCAAATAAACGTTAAAGCAAAACAATCACTGGTACAATTGATTGAAATAATAATTGTTTCCATTAAATCAATCGCGTTCTCTTGATATAAGTAGTGTAAGATCCATTTTGAATGTTTTGTGTGTGAAAATCCCTCCATGTATACATTTGCAGTTTGTTCCTATTGATTCCTTTAGCTGTACATTGTTAGTCTTTTTTGATTCCATTCGAGTTGTTCATATTTGTATTTTATTATAGTTTTTATTTTTCTTACGCCTTCACTAAGTTTCCGTGTTTCTTCCTGAACTGAATTTGTGTGGTTTTACTTCATACTTAGTCTTGGCGGCAGCCCTATTGTTTTGTTCCTCATTTTGATTGCGTTGCTTGTATTGGCTGGAATTGTGGATTTTTGATTGTGAATTGAGGCACTCTTCCGGAATTGGAAACACTGTGTTATAAAGCAACAAGATATTATCTTTTAAACGAATCTGTGCGTGGTCTATCCAGACAGGATAGAACAACATTTATTTGTTGTGACTGGTAATTTTCTCGCATCCCATATCAATTTCGTTATTTATTGTAATTTAGATTTGATTAATTGGAAAATTATTGGTTGGATAGCTGGGTGGTAATATTTGTTTATAATAATAATAATAATTTATTCTCAAATAACAGTTTGTTACATGAGGCATGCCAGTTTACAGGCAAGATCAAATTGATACAAATTATACAATATACACTGTAGTAAATTACAACACTTATGTACCCATAAGATGTTTGTGAATAATAATAATAATAATAATAAGCTGGGTTGATAATTTATAAGATATGAATGTAGATGGTACTACAGTACTACAGTTGGCGCGCTTCACGAAAGTTGCGTTGCGAATGTGCTACTGATGGTCAAGGATAGGTCCATTGAAGGTGGAGCCTCTAAATGTCGCAACCTTATGTCCCTTTGGAATGTCTAAGGCTTGAGGATGGTGCAGGATGAAATCTTTCGTTCCACATCACAAGGGGGCTGAAAGAGGGAGCAAGTAAAAGAAAACACGAGAGGCAGAGTAGCCAATATTCATGAATGAATGTTTAAGGTATGATTACTCGGTCTAATTTTCTTTTATTAAGGTATTTGTTAAGAAAGAGCATTTTAATAGGTTAAAGAAAATAAGTGTTAACAAGGTGTGAGTGGACATATAACTGACAAATGGAGGCGATTCGGAAAGGAGCTGAGAGTACGGGATTGTGTGATTATAAAATAAAATATAGTGCTAGAAACAGTATTGTGATATACAATTGACTGTCTTCCTTTTATTATCGAAGCTATTAGAGCCCCTTTCGTTTTTTGCATTATTTTTTTCAGGTATTATAGGGTCTTGAGTAGGCTTCGTATATTAGCGAATTGTCTAGTTTGCTTGTGAACGATGTACATTTAAATTTATGGTGAATTATAGAACCTTCATTTTACCCGGTTACCTTATTTTGGTTTCAAACTGGCAAGAGCGCCCATCTGACCCACCTAGACAGCTATCCTTCAGTCCAAACCTTAGTTTGGATCTTACAAGTAGGTTACTGCACACTTTGCTTTTAACTGACGATTTGGTAGTTTTTAAAATAATGGCTAAGTAACTGATAAATCTACGATAATTTGATGCTGAAAACATATTAAATAAAGCTATTTTGAGTTAATGTCCTTTATTATACATAAAGTACGCCATTATTACTTCATTTTAATACTTCAATGTCAGATAAATTGAACAAAAACAGAGTACCGTTTGATCTAACATAAACAAACTTCAGGATAAAAGTATATAATAATATGTTGTCATCTGAATAATACAATATAAAAACAATCTTTATACAAACATGATGTGAATAGTGATATTGCAATCATCACAGCCATCGGAAACAGAAATATTAGAATATACGGTTATTACTTTATTACTACATTCTCTTATATGGAGCCTCTAACTCCATTTCACTCTAACAAGAGATAATATGAATTCAATCTAATTTATTATACCTCTGTCTGTTCTACTACACAATGATAGGCAACGTTTGGTGTTCATATCCAAGTGCCTCGCTGCTTTCCTGTTTCTCTTTCCTTCCTTTCTTCAGAATCTTGCTCTGAGGGCACAGGTATGGAACTTCTGACGTCTGGAACAAACTTGGCGTACGCGCCTCCTCCAGGTCATGGTTTACAGCAAGCGCTCTACGAGTCTACTTTATAACAACTATAAACTTAATTAGTTGGGAAGCATGCTGTGCGCCTACGGACGTTGTAATTTATAGACCATGCCTGGGAACTCATGGCTTCAAACATTACCTGTGTCGTCTTCATCACTGATCGAAACAATTTTTTTCGAGACCTTCATTTGTACCATTAATTAGATCTATGTTAACTGTGTCTGGAAATCTCTTGTAGAAAGATGTGTACTCAACATGCATTTTATTGTGGCATGATAATGTTCAGGCGCATTTGAGGCTATGGGATCAAACAGGTTGACCCATTACCAACGCACAGCCCATGAATCACTCATTTGCTATTTCACTCTGCTTAAATCAAAGCGAAAAACTTTGATAACAGGGAACTTAACTACGTAAATGATGTTCACCGTATATAGAAAACACTTTATTCATGAACAACCACGAACCTCAATGTACTTACACAGTGAAGCCTTTCCCATATTGATAGCTAAGAATCATTAACTACTGAGATCCGTGAAAGTGAAAATAATATTCTTCTAACGAATCCTATCACAAATGATTCTGTCCTCTTCTGTACGTTGTTGAAACGGCGGCTAACCAATATGTGACCCCAATAAATAATATCCCGTAAACTGAGTATTTAAGGTAGACTTAATCTCGTAGTAGAATTGCGGATTTACTCGAGATTATTGAGAAGCCTGAACACCAGTTATAGAGATAGTTTATTGTTACTGATTAATAAAAATCCACAAGCGTACGGTGAGCAAGCACACGATGAAACAGAGTGAGTGTGTGTGTTAAAAATCTATATATATTTTTGAGAGTTAATCGGGTGTGGATAAATTATCGATTATATGCTTACTGCAACCAATAGGAGGATAGCTTAAGGGTTATTGTACAGACATGCATCCGACCATACACACCGAAATCAACAAAGTGAATTAAGAGTCTGAGTTACAATGAATAGACAAATGATACCGTAGCCAAATGGGCTTGCCACAACGTCATTTCTAGAAGTGAGTTATAGAATTGTTGTGCAGAATCAGGTGATAGTGTTTAATCAGTGATTCAGAAAGAAACTTTGTCTCAAGTGTAAACTCAGTGATACTGATGAAACATTTCCTAAGTATCGTGCACTTGCCGAGTCTTATCAAATATTTTATTACATCAGAATATCGATGGCGGGACATACCATTTAATCTTCAGGAAACTTATTCAACCTTGTTTAGAGTGTGGAAATACGGTGTTTCCCTTCCCGCTGCAAAAAGGGTAAGAAAACAATGTAAGTCATTTAGGGGACTCAAACCGCAAACCCTAGGGAGATCTTCTCAAATCACTAGACCTTCATCTATAAGAGTGTAAGCATCTTAGGGGTGACCGTTTAGACATTCTTAGGCGCCACCCTGCATACCTATATAGGCCCAGTTTCAACACAAAATTTAGAGGTCACACACAGAATTCAGTAACGCAACATGGCAGAACGGAAAGTAGGCACATATTTTACCTTCGAAGAGCAGCCAAACTCTGAAGTTCGTGGCCAGCTGAAGCTGTCCAAGTAACTTCCCGGAATCCCTTTAAACGAAATCTCGACATATTCTTCAGGACTAAGGATAGTATCCCACTATAATACATCAACACTTTTTCTCTTTTGTGTTAAAGCTACTTACGTTCCTACTTGGAGGAATCGGCGAGCTATCTCTACTAAACACGAGAATCCGTTAAATAAAAGCTGCTTCTATTCCGTCTAGAATGGATAAAAAAACTTCATCTGTGGCCGAAGACAGAGATTGAAAGTAATTGGGTTACTAATTTGGAGGAGGACGGTCAAATGTGGTTTACCTCAAGGCATCATCCTGGGTCCCATACTTTTTCTTCTCTACGTCAATGAATTACCACATTTGCTAAGGTCGTTGAAATTATCACATACGATTGACGTTAAGATTTGCAGAATAATAAGACGGTTCTGATCTTTAAGCTTGTTATATCCTAGTGAAGCTTACATTACGAGTAACGTCTGAGACTTACTAATGGACGATTATTGTTATATATTCTCATGGTATAAATATTCAGTAACTAGATTATGTATTTCTATATTCCCCTTGTTATAAGCTTTATTTTGACTTAGAATTTATTATTGTGCAATTTACGGTTATTAAGCTATGTTCAGTTTATTGACTACTGCCTCATGGGTCCACAGTCACTTTTTGGCTTTATTGTTTACAAATGTTATTTCCTATTTTATGGTGCGTTGCGGTCTGTCTGATTATTATATATAAACCCAGTATGTCTGAAATAAATAATTTGGTTTTGTTCGCATAGTGGAAGCTGGTGTTTGTGTTCTGGACTCAAGTTGACGGGCTAGGCGGACATAAGACCAATGAGGACGCTAGGCTGCCCATACTGGTCGAACGTCATTAGTTTGGCACGGTGCTAAGATAGTATAAGTCGTATTTTGATTGGTGGACGAATCACGTGATGGAAGCAGAACATAAAGTCATAATAAAGCTGGCCTGGACGAATTAGTCCCAATTTCGGGGCTTAAAATTCGACTCTAGAAAGAGTATGCTCATGCACATCGGAGACGGTAATTAGAACCGGTATACTATCGACGGTACATCTCTTCTATACATACAGGAACATAAATACTTGGGAGTAATAATAAGTAACGACTTGAAAATAACTACGCATTACAACACGGCAAAAGTTTCTGGTGCCTTATGGTTACCTTCAAATGGCTCAAATGGTTGTGGACGGAATAGAAGAAGCTTTCGCTTAACAGGCTTCCGTGTCTAGTAGCAGAGGATCACCAATATCTCCAGGCAGGAACATAGGTTTACTATCTATAATATATTCAAAAAAAGGAAATCGGTGACTCACAATAAGATGTTATCCTTAGTCCTTAAGAAAAGGTCAAGTTTCCTCTTAAAAACTCCTGGGAAGTCGCTTGGACTAGCTCGGACGGCAGTGAATTCCAGCATTTGACAACTCTTAAGGAGTAGAAGTTGTGTCTGCAGTCCGTTCTGCTATGTTGTGTCTCCAATTTCTGGGTGTTACCCCTTAGGTTTGTATTGGGACTAAGTTTAATTAGGTGTTTAAGGGGATGTACAGAAGTGTTAAGGATACCGTAAGTCATTAGAGGGTTACCTCTAAGACGCCTATACTCTAGTGCGTAAAGGTTAAGCAATTGGAGGCGCTCTTCATAATCGTTGAATCCAAGTCGCCGAACTGGTTTTGTGGCTCGTCGTTGGATACGCTCCGGAGTGGCATTGGACCATAACCACAAAATCCTCAAAGCTGAACACAAGGCTACTCGGAAAATAAATGTTCAATATTCAATATCCTGCGGAGAAATACCTAAAGAGGGGGAGGCGGGAACAAGGAGTTGAACTGATTGAAGTTGATCGAATGGCATGGCTCGATCTTGCAGATCTTTGTTAAATGTTATCTTATATCTTTTATTCACATTAAATATATTGTTCTATATCTAGCCTAAGCTTGTTCCACATCATGTATTGGTGATTGTTACGATACGATGACTTGGTGTAGACGATGGTATGACTTCTATGTAAGGTCTTATAGATTAGGCAGCTATATCATGACAAGTCTACAATTTTAGGATTAGGTCTATTATTAGCGCAGTACTAATATCATAGTGGACCATAATTCTCCGTGTTCTTATCCTTTTGGTGTGAAGGAGGAAATACCATGTTTCCATACTCTGAATGTGGACAGATAATACTGTTGAAGATTATGCGGAAAGTTATTCCGTCAAATTGGCCAAAAATGCGCTTCAATATTACCAGTGCAAGGTTTGCTCGGAAGGCATTTTTGTCACAGCGTAAGACTTTAAATCATGGGGCACCAGGACTCCTAAATCTTTATCGACTTGGGATACTACTAGATAGGAGTTATCTAAGTTGTAACTGTAGTCTGAAACATGTCGCAGATGGACTACTTGACACTAGAAAGTGTTAAAGGTAAGTCCGTTATCGTCTGCCCAACTTTGAAGTCGAGTCAGATCCTCCTGAAGTGCCTGTATATCGTCTTGGTTGCGTATCCCTCTCCAAAGTTTCACCTCATCGGCAAAAAGTAATAAGTATGACGTTACCTGTTGAGGAAGATTATTTATGTAGATCAAGAAGAGAAGAGGCCCTAGTACTGAACCCTGGGGGACCCCACTAGAACATTCCATAGCCTGAGATAAAGTGAAATTAACCCTATCCTTAAAGTGTCGATTTTTTAGGTATGAAGTAAGCCAATCGATTAGGGGTGGTTTGATACCTAGTCGTTTGAGCTTGTTGATAAGACATAAGTGGTTAACCTTATCAAGAGCTTTTGAGAAATCAAGGTAAATGACATCAACCTTTCCCTTGCAATCGAGGACGCTTGTCCATCTGTCCACCGCAGTCGGCAGGTTGATTATACAAGAGTAACCCTTCCTGAAGCCATGCTGTTG